CTGAAGAACGTCCTGGTTGCTTCCAGCTTTGGGCAATTATGAATAAAGCGGCTACAGACATCCGGAAACAAGTTTTTATGTGGATGTAAGTTTTCTACTCTTTTGGGCGAACAGGAGTCTGACTGCTGCACCGTATGGTAAGAGTTCGTTAAATTTAGAAGAAATCACCAAACCGTCTTCCAACGTGGCTGCGCCATTTTGCACGCCCACCGGCAAGGCCCACGCACACCTGCTGCTCCCGTCCAGGCCAGTGGCTGGTGTCCTTGGTGCTCTGGATTTGGGCCATTTTTGATAGGTGTGTGGTGGGGTCTTGTTTTACGTGCATTTCCGGATGACGTACGACATGGAGCACGTCTCATGCACTTACTTCACACCCATATACCTTTGGCGAAGCGTCTGTAAAAGTACTTGCCCATTTTTTAATCGGGTTGTGTGTTTTCTTAGGGTTGTGTTTTAAGAGTTCTTTATGCATTCTGGATCCCTGTCCTGTATCAGAGGTGAGTTCTGCACATCTTTTCTCCCTGCCTGGAGCTGGTCTTCTTAAGTCCGAGGTCGTGCATCTTAGTGAAGGCCGGCTTCCGCAAGATTTCTGTCGTGGGTGGCGCCTTTGGTGTCGTCTCTGAAAAGTCCCCGCCCTTCCCTCAATTTTCTCTTGTTATCCTCAGGAGTTTTATAGTTTTGCATTTGACATTTCGGTCTGTGATCCATTCTGAATTAAATTTAGGGAAGGGTGTCAGGTCTCTTTCTGGATTTTTTTTCATGCGGATTCGAGTTCTTCCTGCACCATCAGCTGAAAAGACGGTATTTTCTCCACGGCGCTGTCTTTGCTCCTTCATTGGAGATCAGCGGACAGGAGGTGTGGGTCTATGTCTGGGCTCTCTGTCCCACGGACATGTGTGTCTGTTCTGTCACCAGCCCGCAGTGCCGTGATCACTCCAGCTTCACGGTGATCTTGAAGGCGGGCAGATCTGTCTGCAGCTTTGTTCTCCGGTCCTGTGTCGGCGATGATCGTTTTTTTGTCTCCCCACGTAACTTTAAAACCATTCTGTCGGTATTGGCAAAATAATGTGCTGAGATTTTTTATTTTGTTAAGATTTATTTATTTTGGGAGAGCACGGGAGGGGTGTGTGTGGGGGGGACTCTCAAGCAGGCTCCCCACTGAGCACAGATTCCTGCGACCCTGAGATCACGACCCGAGCCGACGTCAAGAGCCGCTCACCCGACTGAGCCACTGGGCGTCCCTAATGCGCGGGGGTTTTGAAAGCAATCTCATGAATCTGTAGATCAAGTTCTAAAGGACCGACACTTGGACATTGTTTTCTTATCCATGAACACGGCCCGTTCTTCTCCATTTATAAGGTCTTCCTTTGATCTCATTCATCAGAGCATTTTTCTTTTCCATTGTAGCAATTCTTCATGGTTCTTTCATAGAATTCCTCTCTCTCTGCTCACCTCTCGTTGCTCGCCCGGTCTCGTGTGCCGTCGACTTTATCCACGAGCGCCCTCAGCGTGTTGATCAGGGCTGTTTTAAATTCCGGGTCGTTCCGACGCCCCTGCCATGCCTGGTTTCGCTGTTCTGTCTCTCCAGATTGTGACTTTTCTTTTGGGATGCCTTGTAATGCTTTCCTGATAGCTGGACTTGACGCCCGGGGGAAAGGAGCTGCTGTAAACAGGGCTTTGGTAAGCGGAGGGGAGGTGGGGGGAGGGGGCGTGTCCTGTAGCCCGGGAGCTGGTCTCACTGTGTCCGTGAACCAGGCCTCTGGACCGTGAACCTCACAAGAGTTTCTTGGCTTTATTTTCCACCTCAGGTGCGACCCGATGGCTCTCGTGGGCTGGAGTCGGGGATCTCCCTTCCGCCGGGGCACTTAGCTCTGATGATATCCCAGCGGGTTAGGCTCTGGTGAGCTGGTTTCCCCAGAGACAGACCTTGGTAAGGAGAACAGAATGTTCTGGGGTGATTCAGATCCCTTCCTCCCCTTCCTCTTGCTGGAAGGAAGCAGAAAAGGATTCTTTTTCTGATGTTCACTGCGGGAGCCTGGTTGGGCTCCTGGTGGTAAGACTCGCAGGACTGTGGGGCCCCTGTGAGCGGGGCTGCAGTTTCTAACTCAGGTGGTCCCTGAGCCTCCAGCAAGTCCTCAATGCCAGGTCTCCCCGCCCCCGCGCTGGTTCCCGTGGAGGCCTCTGCCCACGAGTCTCCCCTCTGGGCGGCCGTGACTCTGTGTTCACCTGTCCGTCTCCATTCTCCGGGCCGGCACTTGGCCCCGTGTCCTCCCCTCTCCTACAGATCCTACAAGAGTTGATTTTTCAATCTATTCAGGTGCTTACTTGTTGTCAGGAGAGAGTGGGAACTTCCAAATGGAACAAAAATGGATTTTTTTGTTAACAGTTTTATTGAGATTTAATTCATATACCGTACAAATCATCTACTTAAATTGGGTAACTCAGTGGTTTATTCCTAGCGTTGCAAAACCGTCACCACCATCAGTCTGAGAACATTTCCGAAAGAAACCCTAAGCCCTTAGGGGTCACTCTCCATGTTCCCTCCCCCAGCCCCTGGCAACCACTAAGCTACTTTCTGTCTCTGAATATTCTCGACATTTCCTAGAAAGGGAATCATAGAATATATGGCCTCTTTTAAGGTTCACCACGCTGTCACGTGCATACGTACCTCATTCCTTTTCATGGCTGTGTAATATTCCGCTGTGTGGATGTACAGTGTTCTGTGCGTTCATCAGTTGATGCACATGCCAGTAGTTTCCACTTTTTGGGGCTGTTTGTGAATGATACGGCTATGGATTTTGTGTACAAGTCTCTGTGTGGTCCAGTGTTTTCAGTTCTTTTGAGCATACGCTTAGGAGTGGAACGGCTGAATCGTATGCTAACTTTATGTTTCACTTTTTGGGAAACGGCGACTGTCTTCCAAGGTGGCGTCACCGTTTTCAAATCCCACCGGGGCTATAAGAGGGATCCGATTTCTTCACGTCTTTTGTCCTCTGTCTCCTTTGACTGTAGCCCCTTCAAGGCTGGCTGTAGGTGATCCCACTGTGATTCTGCTCTGCATTTCCCGAGCAACGAACAACGCTAAGCGTCATTTCACGCACTCCCGGGCCATTTGTAGGTCTTGTTTGAAGAAATGTCTGTTTGGACCCTTTGCTAATTTTTCCCTGGGTATTTGTCTCTTCACCTTTGGGCTGTAAGAGGTCTGACATGTAGGCACACCTCGGTTTACCATACTCTGCTTTACTGCACTTTTAGGAACTGCATTTTTTTATAAGTGGAAAGTCTGTAGCAGTCTTGCACCGAGCAAGTTTACTGACAGTGTTTACACTTTGGTGATTCTCATGATATTTCAAAATTTTCATCGTTATTGTGTCTGTTATGGTGATCTGGGATCGGTGATTATAACTTGCTGAAAGCTCAAAGGATGGTTCGCATTTTTTAGCTGTAAAGTATTTTCAAATTAAGGTCTATGCTTTTTTTTATTTTTTATTTTTTTATTTTATTTTATTTTTTATAAACATATAGTATATTTTTATCCCCAGGGGTACAGGTCTGTGAATTGCCAGGTTTACACACTTCACAGCACTCACCATGGCACATACCAGGTCTATGCTTTTTTTTAGATGTAATGCCATTGCATACTTAACGGACCACAGCATAGCGTCAATGTTAACTTTCACATGCAATGGGAAACCAAACATTCCTTCGGCTCACTTCATCATGACACGTGCTCTACTGTGGAACCGAAGCCTACCCTATCTCCAAGGCACGCCCGTATACTAGAAGCAGGTCCAAATGCACTTTCTTGAACGCAAGAAGAATTTTCAAAACTTCTGATTGTATGTTCCGAGGAATTCTATGAAGCGGACTCACTCTTTCTCTGTTTCCTGGTTCTTTACACTGAAAGGGGGAATCTTTACAATGCTGACTCTTTACAGTGTTAACTAGGTATGAACGCGGCTGTGTTTGGAGTGTTGCCACTACTTGTATTAGAAATTTTGAACTTGAGTATTAACGCTCCGGAATTACCCAGAAACACACAAAGGGAAGAAATAAAGCTTTCTCCCTATGAACAGGGTCAACTTCAGATCATTCAGACACTTTTACAAAAGCTAGCCGGGAGCACATACATTGTCTAGGGATCTGGTCCATCATCTGTGCTGGTTTTTCAAAGGCCACAAATTCTTCCACACTCTTCCTTTCAAAAAGGAACCCCATCCCCACTCTTGAATGTGGGCTGGACTTACTGATTTGTTTCTAATGAATACAGGTAATGGGTCACTTTTAAAACTAGCTGACAAAGGGCCCAGTGGCTTCCCCGTCTCTCTCTCCCCCTTGCTCGGGGTCAGGAGGAACAGCCCAATGGAGAGGTCCATGTGGTGAGGAACTAAGCCTCCTACCAACCGCCATGGGAGGGCGCCATCTTGGAAGTGGAGCCTCCAGGCCCGCCAGGCCTTGGATAACTCGGCCCCCAGTGGACAATAACCAGACCGTAACCTCATGAGAGATGCTGAGCCAGACCCACCCAGCTAAGCCCCTCTCAAATTCCTGCCCCACAGAAAATGTGCAGTAATACGTGTCTGTTGTTTTTTAAGCCACTAAGTTTTGAGATAACTTGTTAGATGATGACAGATAATGAATACAGTGCCTAAAAAATAAATAACATGGAAGACTAAAGGTATTTTTTTTTTAAAGGTATTTCTTAACAGAGTACCAACAACACTTTTCTAAGAATGTCTCTGAGATGTGCTGAAAACTGCATCCTCTCTGTGAAGCAGCCTAAATCTAATTCACAGGAACAATGTTAAAATGTTACGCCGAAAGCAGGCGTCCTTGCAGATCCTGGGGAGTCTGAGAATTCCCTAAAACGATCTGCGGGATTTTCTTAGCAGAACTGTCTTTTTTTTTTTTTTTTTTTCTCGGAAGGGGAGACCACACTTTCATAAGATTTTCAAGAGCTCGATGACTCCGAAAAGCTAAGAACCACTACCCTCTGGCAGGACAGACGCTGCCTTCAGCCCTGGCAAGTTTCTATAATTGGGTTTAAACTCCCCGAGTTTCAGCGCCTGTGAAACAGAGGAACCTCTTCGAGGAGGATTTACTGGGACTTAAGTAAGCTTACCCAGCGGGAGAAGCCTTTGCCACACTTGGGGCATCCGTAAACGGCCGGGATGAAACTGGCATCGTGGTATTTCTTGAAGTGCGCGTTTAGCAACTGCTTCTGCCGGAAACATTTACTGCACGAGAGGCAGGTGAATGGCTTCTCCCCGGTGTGGGTGCGGATGTGAACGGTCATATGACGCTCCTAGGAGGGAAGGCGAGGGAGACAAGCCGCTGAGCGACTCAACGTAGATCTTTTCGTCCTTGACGTTACTTTATACTTTCCCTCCCTCCCCAGCGAGCAGCGCACGGTGAGGAAAAACGGCAGCGCACACACTGTCAGGGCGGCATTCCTAGAGTGGAGCACAGTCTGCCCCACCAGGAACCGAACTTGCCCGCATCCCCACCGCCAGGCCACCAGCGAGCTCCCAGCAGGTCCCACAGCCCCTCGTGGCCTGTGGTGGAACATTCCTTGGGGAGTGAAATGATAATCACTAGGACAAGTCTTACTATCTATTGAAAAGCATAGAAGTGATCAAAGCTGTTCTCAGTGAGGAAATAACCAGAAGTTTTAACTAAGATTTACCTGAGCACTTAACTGGGAGAAGCAGGACACAAATACATATAAAGTCAAACAAAAGTACCCATTTTATTTGTTTTATTTAAAATGCGATGGTCTCGCAGAGGAGACGCATGCCCACTTCTAGGTTCCTGTTTGAAACTGAACTGTGTTTCTCCAAGGCTCTCTCTTATGAGTACTCTGTTCCCCACAGGCCTTTCCTCGCACCCTCCTTCCCAGACAGTGTGGCCCTGGTGGGACGGAGCGACCCTGTCCCGGGAGGAGGGTGAGAGCAAGGGCGAATGGGGAAGACGGTCCTTTTTGTCAGCCCAGTCCGCTGACCGATCTTATACTTTGAGGGAATCTTTTACCTACATGAATGATTTTGTAAACTAGTGGACTGACTGGTCATCTGGCAGATCTCAGTTTATTGAGTTATGCAAAGCTTCCAACTGTTGACACATTTCATGAAGCCCTATGAAGAAATGCTTCCTTAAAATCGCTCCAGTCTCGTTAGAAAAGTCTTCAGTGTTAGCAAGCTGTCAAGCTCCCGGTGGCGGAAATACAAATTTCTAATTGTGTATTTCCTCTTGACAGCTGAAATCATATCTTTGGCAACACATTTTCCTGGAAGCGACGGACTCGTTTTATTTACTTTCAGAAAAAGGGCAGAGTGTTGCCAAACGTCTGAGACGGAAGAGGCGAGTCTGTCGCTCGTGTTTTCAAGTGGGAACAGTGGTCCAGGGAAGAAGGGGTCCGGGCTAGTTGAGCTAGCAACTCGGACAGCCCGCTGGGTGCTTTCCTGCCCCCTGCCGCTGGGTTTCGGGAGACCGCAAAGAGAAAGCATGCACGGGGAGGGAGGAGCGGAGAAGAGAGATTTCTCGAGCAGACGCCTCGCTGAGCGTGGAGCCCGACTTGGGGCTCGATCCCAAGACCCTGAGATCATGACCTGAGCTGAAACCAAGAGTCGGACGCCTCACCGACTGAGCCACCCAGGCGCCCCTCTCAACCATACTTTTAAGAACCGTCGCTTGGGCATGTTGGCCCACGGCTGCTTTCTGGTTATTCTGAAAGAACAACTGCCCAGTATTTTCACGGCGACAGAGGACCGCCTGAAATGCTCCCGTCTTGCACACACCGCGGCCTCCCTCCGCCTCCCTGAATCGCCTGGGACCTCGTACCTGCTTGCAGGCGTAACTGCAGTGTTCACACTTGAACCTCTTCTCATTCTTGTGAGTCTTCTGGTGCTGAATGAGGGCGTAGCGTTCATGGAAGGCCGCGGAGCAGCAGCGACACTTCATCTCCGTGGCCTTGTACGTGTGCAAGTTGCGCAGGTGGACACCTGAAACAGAAGGGCGGGCGCTGAAACCGTGTGATTTCTGCTGGCTGCTCTCCTGAGCCCTGTGTCAGCGCTTCTCAGTCTCAGCGCGGCTGGCCCCAGAAGCTGGTTTCTTCTCGGGGGAGCTGTCCTGGGCACTGTGGGGAGTTCAGCGGTGTCCCTGGTCTCCACCCAGTAGATACCAGCAGCATCCTTTTTCCCCAGTTGTGACAGCCAGAAGGCCTCCAGATACTGCCAACTGCCTCCCGGGGAATGAAATCCTTCCATGCTGAACTCCGCTCAGAAGGCACCTTGTCCTGGCAGGTCCACGGGTCACCCCTGCACTAGGCAGGGAGGTCCCGCGGAAGCTGTGGCACAGCGGACCCAACGTGGTCACTGAACCAAGCGCCCTGAGAACCTGATCACGGTGTAGGCGGGTTTTCAGGATAAGGTTAAGGCAGTTTTGCATAACAAAGATAGGACCTCTCTAACCTAACTTAAAAAAAATATTGAGATGTTCTGTTAGAAGTCGATGCCCTGCTTTCTTCCTCTGTTGTCACTGACCTAGGACGTGCAGTGAGGTCTGATTGGACGTACTTTAGAATAATTTCTACCGAACTGAGTCTCACGCATGGTGGTCTATGGCCCTTTGGGGGAGAGGCCAAACCCCAACGGACAGCTGGAGGAGGTCCACCCGCGATGTGCTGACCCAGTCACTGGGGAGCCTGACCTCCCCGGCGGGGGCAGGCAGGAAGACTTCCGGAGTTTGCAAAGCATCTCACCGGGTCCGGGAGGGGCCCCCTACCGAGATGAGGCGTAACCTACATCATTTTGTCGTGCTGGGAACAGACGTGTAGCCCTTGTGCCCTAAAAAGTCCCACTAGGCTGTGTTTTATGGCGTGCCGGTAACTATACTAACATTGACAGTATGTTCCAGGCTTAAAAAAAAAAAAAAAAAAAGGTTAAGGCTCCAAAAAACCACCCTCACTCTCCAGAAATGTTCTCAAACTGTGCACCTCATCTCCAGACGTTCTCCGGGTGAATCCGTGACTTGTACTTGTGCTAACACGTTCTGAGTATCACGGTGTTACACGCTTTGGCAAGAGAAGTGAGATCAGGGAAAGCGGGAAGCCCAGGATTCCCGGAACAAAGGGGAAAGGCTCATCACTCACCGTCGCTCCCCTGCTAAGTCCTGCCCAGTTTTCCATGGGGGCAGGATCAAACCCCGACTCCTAAATCTGGCATTCAGCGTCTCTCACGGTGCGTCCCTTTCTCGCTCCGTGCTGTCTCGTGCCATGAAGAGGGCATCCCATGTCACGACAAGGATGTCGGGGCACAGGCTGGCCCCTTTTACTGAAGTGAGTCCCCTAAGGGGAGGGCTGTTTGGGTTCTCCCTTTCGCAACCTCAGCTCCCGGAACGTTTTAGGATCACGGGGGGGGGGGGTTTAAGAAAGGTCCGCACAGTATCACTGATGAGAACTTTAAGAGTCAGGCCACCTCTGGACACCTGGGCCCCTCCTAGCTCAGGGGACCGTGGGGCAGTTCACGCTGTGTCTCTAAGCCCCTCCATCATCGAAGCCCCTCCACCATCTGTAAAACCAGGCTCAATGTGGAACAAAACAGTAACCGTGGAAGTCCTTCAAGAGCTAACATACGTGTGACTGGCTGCTTAGCAGGTGCACCCGGAAGGGAACGGCTTCGAGCCACGAGAAACGAGCCACGAAATCGCACGTCTGCCATGTCGCCACTAGATGGCACCACAAGACCGCTGGGAAAAAACCCTCTTCCACAGCGGGTCCTGCAGACCAGGAGCCTGCCTGTCAACAGGCCCAGGGCTCCACGGCTTTCCAGGCTGTGCCCCCTAAGAGCCAACCAGTACCGTCCCTAAAGGAAGTTCATGAAGCCAGACACTCACGCAGGTCACTCTTCCTTGCAATGACGGTGGCGCAGTGCGGACACTGGTACTTGGGGACGTTCTCGCTGTGCTTCTGCACGATGTGTATTTTCAAGGTGCCACTCTGGGTGAAGCGAGCGTGGCACACGTGGCATTCGTACGGCTTCTCGCCTGTGACATGGGCGACAAAAGTGACCCTCTGCCCGGGGGCTTCGCCTAGGAAGCCGGGATCCCCTCCAGAGGCCCCTGGAGCTGAAAGCCTTTCTTTCATCCCCGAGGCTCCTGTCTCAACCCCTTCCTTGGATATTTAGCCACACGATTGGAGCCCGAACATTACGTCAAGCACAGCTTGTGGACAGGGGCTCAGACAGGCGGCTCTCCCGCCATCTGGGAGCTACTGGTCCCCGCCAGCCGCCCATTCCCACCCTGGTCTACAGAACTGAGACATACACGTAAACACAGTCTTCGTACAAAGAATATATGTAAAGTAAGTGCTACAAATACCACCTAATCCACTAGTCCCGCTTCTGGGTATTTAGTGATTTGGAAAGATACGTGGCCCCCTGGGTTTCCTGCAATGTTACTGACAACAGTTCAAACACGGAAGCAGCCTGCCTACCCGAGAGACGAGTGGGTAAAAGAGAAGTGGTGCACATGTATATGTATTTACACATAAAATGGGATATTGCTCAGCCACCAAAAAAGAATTGAGATCTGCCATTTGCAATGACACAGGTGGGCCTAGTGGGGGTCACACTAAGTGAAAAATTCAGGCAGAGAAAGACACCGTTGGATTTGTCCTAGATGTGGGCTCTATGGAACAAAATGGACAAAACAGACTCATCGATGAAGAGAACTGGGGGTGCCAAGGAGAGCGGGGTTGAGGGACCGGCCAACAGGGGAAAGGGATTTAGGGGTATGAAATTTCAATTATAAAATTAACAGGTCACGGGGATGTACAGCTTGGCCTGGGGCGTGTGGTCGGCGGTCCCGTATTCACATCGTGCATGTCAGCTTGTGCAGGGGCAGAAGGGGACTTAACGATGAGCATTGAGTAAAGTGTGTGACCGGACAGTCCCTCTGTTGTACCCCTGAAACGTGTGTGTGTGTCCACTACAGGCCCATGGAAAATAACTAAAAAGTAAAGTAAGTGCATGAGGAAACCAGCACGCTTTCCATTCTGCCTTAAAACGGGAGGGTCAGTGAAGCAGGGGATGGACATCCTCGACGCAGCCCCCGAGGCAGACACTGGACGGCGGTCCGCTTCCCCCCCACCCCCGCCGTGGGCCCCCCAGGGCGAAGCGCACGCAGAGGGGCCGCGCAAGTCCCCAGAAAGGATGGAGACGCCCGCTCTGACGTCTGCGCCTCCCGCGGGCCACCAGGAACGTTCTGTCCGGGCTCCCGTGCCACAGGGACGCCGGGCCGAACCCACTCGTGCTACCTGAGTGCGTCCTCATGTGCCTCTTCAGCTTGTAGGTGTCCTTGCTGGCGTAGCTGCACAGAAGGCACTGGAAGGGACGCTCCCCCGTGTGCGAGCGGATGTGACGCTTCAGCTTGCTAGCCTGGGAGACAGACGAGGGGGACGGGGCGGTCAACACTTACGCGTCGTGAGCGCCTCCCGTGAGTCAGCGTCACAGAAGATCTGGAAATCGCTCCGACCATAACGTCAGTGCGGATCGCATGCGCCCACCACGGTGAACCAGTCGTGCCTTTCTTTCCCCCGCTCCGGGGTGATGTTTTCCGTCTGATGTGCACGTCTGAGGTCCTCGGTGGGTGAGGAGCAGTAATTTCAAGAAACTCTCAGACCCACCACACGTTACAAAGGGAAGGCTGAAGTCTGGGGTTTTTGTCTCGGAGGCAGGTTTAGATCCGCGCAGAGGCCAGAAGACGAATGTTTGTGTAAATAACGCAGGAGCCTTGAAACAGGGTCTTTGATGGACCACAACCTCCCCGTGAAGCATTTCACAGAGACGGGCTATGTGGGCCCCAAATGGCACACGAGTATTAGTGTTTCTTTAGAAGAAGAAACTTTTTTTTTTTTTTTGACAAAGATCACAAGCAGGCAGAGAGGCAGGCAGAGAGAGAGGAGGAAGCAGGCTTCCCGATGAGCAGAGAGCCCGATGCGGGGCTCGATCCCAGGACCCCGAGATCATGACCTGAGCCAAAGAGGCTTTAACCCACTGAGCCACCCAGGCGCCCCAAGAAGAAACTTTTAAGTAAAAGGAAGCATCTTCTAATTTGATTAATTATACATCCCAGGCAATATTAAAAGGTAAACCACATATTCCCTCTGGCTTAATCATTTTTCTTGTCTGTTTGATCACCTCTTAGAACTGTTCCCCTGTACGCTCTCGCTGCGGGCCCTTATCTGCCTTCAGCAGAGCACGGGGCAATCAGCCACCCCGGGTGACCGCTGTCAGAGAGCTGGTGTCAGTCCTGCCTGCCATCTCGGGAAAGCTATGCCTGGTCTGGCTCCTGGTATGGGACAAGCATGCATAAGCCTGGAGAACATTTCGAGAACCACAGAAGACTCAGACGGAAAACAAGGTCCGAACAGAGAACTTCAGCTGAGAATTTTAGAAGCAAAGTGGATGTCTTCGAGTATATGAGAAGGCAAAGAGAAAATTTTAACAATTATAGCAGGAAAGGTTTGGTCAGTGGAGAGAGAAGCACAGGCAGCTGTGGGCAGAGATGTCCTCCGTGGCTCCCAAAGGAGCAGGGCACGGAGGGCATTCACAAGCTTTCAGGAGTGTCATAATCTGCCCACAGCTTGGACACATTCTTGCAGGCCCCAGTGTCAAGGGACAGTGCGGGGGGAGCTCAGGTGACTACAACACTCCACCTCCCTTGCAACAGAGCAGCAGGGCAGGGGCAAATGGCAGTGGCGAGGGTCCCTACATAGAGGCCGACCTCTCCTCGGGCTGTGTGTGGACGGCCCACCCCGAGACGGCTCTCTGCCGACACACAAGCTTGTGCTGAGAACCCACAGGGCACCAACAAGGGGGCGGTTCAAGAGTCTCGGAGTCTCGGGTGGCTTTGTGCTTTGAAACCTTCACTGCGTGTTTCATACACAGCCACCACCTTTCACTCCGATGACAAATAATTTTTAAAAATAGTAATAGTGGGAAAAAATTCTTGGAACCAAATCCCGACCCCGTCCGTGAGCTTCCCTCATTTACGAAATGGGGTTGCGTCATGTATTAAATTCCAGCCCTCCCCTTTAACTCCGTTCCCCGCAAGTGTGTGATCCGTCCCCAGATGGGCTCGGACCCAGGACCCAGCGTGCACGGAACGGAGAGCCACGCAGTGCTTCACAGTTCCTCGTAGGGAACTGGCTCGGCAAAGTAAGTGTCACAGGCGGCTGTCCTTTCATTTGGAGCATGACTGAGCCACCGGGAAGGTATAAATAAAACGATCTGGTTGAAAGGACCATAACACACCACCGAGGTTTGAGGAAGGTGGTCTCCCTGTGCCTGAGAGGGGAAATGGGCCACATCTGATTCTTCCCGCAAGTTGCCTCGTATTTGCCTGGGTTCCACTGAGGAAAGGCCCAAAATTGCAGTGAAAACTCTGACTGGTTCTGTTAGAGCAAATCCCCTTGGATTTCGTAGAACAGAGTAAATGTCATAAAACACCAGATAGGACTTTCTAACACATTTGGGAAACATTTCTCAAGTACAAGTAATTTCATTTGTAAATTTGTACACTTTTACTGTACTTTTGTTAATCGGTAATCAAAGAAAAAAATTCAATTTTCTTTCTTCCCCTTTTTTTTTTTTTTTTGAGAGAAAGATATCGCGCAGAACTCGCAAGCAGGGGATGGGTGGAAAGGGAGAGGGAGACGGAGAATCTTAAGCAGACTCCACACCCAGCAGTGCTCCATCATACAATTAAGAGATCGTGACCTGAGCCAAAACCAAGAGCCAGACGCTTGACCTATGGAGGCACCCAGGTGCCCCTCCAACTTTATTACATCCAGAAAATAGAATGAGTATTACTTCCTGCATAGATTTTGTATGAATAATATCTTTAGGGAAACTTACTTTTGTAAGAGAGTCTATTAGCGTGAACTTAACTTTCATGTCCACTTCTTACTAAGAGCACCTTGAAGCTTCAAGTACATGAATGAACTTACTTCCACGCTGGCGTACTTGCACATGGAACATTTGAAGGGCTTCTCGTGAGTGTGTTTGTAGCGTCTGTGTCGGACCAGTTCTCCGCTGGTGACAAATGCCATGTCGCAGTCACTGCACTTGTAGGGCCTGGTTCCTGCAAAATCCCACAGTTTATCCTATTAAACAAGACGCAACCACACGTTCTCTGAGGAACTTATAACCTATAAATCAGACTCAGTTTCAGAATGCTTTAAAAATTAAGAAGAGGCCCTTTAAATCACAAATACCCCAGACATTTAGGAGAAAAATCTTTGTAACATTTGATGTTTTGAGGCAAAACTGAAGGAAAACTAAATGTTAAGCATGTTATTTTAATATGCCGATAGGTAGATTTCACATTCATACATAAACGTTAACACTTATCCTTGACAGGAAATCTTCTCCTCCGGTTTACCTGTGTGGGTATTGACATGATTCCGCAGAAGAGTGATGGTGCGGAAAGCTTTCAGGCAAAGGTGACACATATGTGGCTTTTCAGTGCTGTGGGTTTTCATGTGACGATTAAAACTCGAAATTCTAGAAGAGGTGAACATGCAGCTATCACAGCGGAAGGTTCGCTTTACTTCTGCAAGAAGGAGAAGATAAAGAGTTTATGTATTTGTAGAAATTTCCTTGAGATGGTCAAATTTCATGGAAACACACTGAAGTAACTTGGCACATCCTTTTTTAAGCATCATGGGGTAAGTCAACAAAACACATTCCATGCAAATGGCACTCAGAAGACCTGGGACAACTCTAGTAACAGACAAAGCAACCTTAAGACAAAATCTGTTACAAGAGATAAACGAGGATATTATACAACAACAGACTCAATCCATCACAAAGGTGGAACAATAATAAACATATAAGCGCCAAATAACACAGCCCCAAAATACCTGAGGCAAAAATGGACAGAGCTGAGGGTAGAAAGAAGCACTTCAGTAATAGTGGGAGATTCAACAACAGAGAAGACAATTACAGTATCAGCAAGGAAACAGAAGATTTAATGCTATCAACCAGACATGACAGACATCTACAGAACACTTGACTCAACAACAACCCCACGGACATTCTTTGCAGGTACATGCAGAACATTTCTCAGGAAAAACCATGTTTTAGGCCACAGAACAAATACTGATAAATTAAGGGCGCCTGGGTAGCTCAGTCGGTTGCACGTCTGTCTGTCTTTGGCTTGGTCATGGTCTCAGGATCCTGAGATGGAGCCTCATGTCAGGGTCCTGGGATTGAGCCCCACCTTGGGCTCCCCACTCAGCGGGGAGTCTGTTTCTCCTTCTCCCTGCCCCTGCTCGTGCACTCTCTCTCTCCCTCAAATGAAATAAAATATTTTTTAAAAAGTCAATAAATTTAAAAAAGCATAGAAATCGTATGCTTTCTGACCATGATGACCTGAAATCAAGAATAAAAGAAGAAAATTTGGAAAATTCATAAACATGTGGAAATTAAACAACGCACTCACAAGTGACCAGTGGGTCAAAGGGGGAATCACAAAGTCACTGTGGAATACTCAGCCAAATGGAAGAGAAATACCACATACCAAAGCCTACAGAGTGCAGCCAAAGCAGTGCTCAGAGGGAAACTTTTAGCTGTAAACACCTACACTGAAAAAGAAAAAGCATTTCAGATCAATAACTTAACGTTACACCTGGAGGAACTAGACAAATAAGAGAAATCCAAACCCAAAGCTAGCAGCAGGAAGGAAATCATGAAGATTGGAATGGACATAAATGAGGTAGAAAACAGGAAAACAACAGAACTGATGGCAGCAGAAGTGGGTTCATTTAAAAGATCATCACTGACAAATCTTCACCTAGACTTGCAACCAAGAAGAAAAAGAGAAAAGTCAAATAAGCAAATCAGGAAGGGAAGTAGAGACAGGACTATCAACTGTACACAGGGGTAGAGGTTATAAGAGAGTACTTTGAACGACTGTACGCCAATGAACCAGATAACCCAGTGAAATGGAAAATTCCTAGAAACACACAAACTACCGACATTGACTCAAGAAGAAATAGAAAGTCTGAATAGATGTTTAGCAAATAAAAAGATTGAATCATTAATAAAAAAACTACCCACAAAGAAATCCCCAGGACCAAAAGTCTTCATTGGAGAATTCTACCAGATGCTTAAAGAATGAACATCAATCCTTTTCAAAGTGCACACACGAAAAAGAAGGGCACTTCCTAATTCATCCCATGAGGACAGTGTTAGATACTGAAGTCAAAGTCAGCAAAGGAAGACTATGGACCAATAAGGCTTATAAATATAAGTGGAAAATTTCCAATAGAATACTAGTAAACCAAACCCAGCAGTTTATTAAAAGGATTATGTACCGAGACCAAGTGGAATTTATCCCAGGAATGGAAGGATGGTTCAACACAGATAACCCATCAGCACAACACACCATATAAACAAAAAGAAGGGGAAGAAAAACACCATCATCTCAACAGATTCAGAAAAAGCACTTCACAAATTGCAGCGGCTTTCATGATACAAACCCAACAAACTTGAAATAGAAGGTTAATGGGTTGAGTTGTGATCCCCCCGATGATACACTGAAATCCTAATGGCAAACAACCGTAGCGGTGACCTTACTTGCAAATAGGGTCTCTGCAGATGTCATCAAGCTTATGACTGTGCCCTTAGAAGAGAAGAAACCCAGGGAGAGACACACAGGGGGAGGGAGGATTTTACGTGACAACAGAGGCAGAGTCCAGTAACACATCTACGAGCGGAAAAAAAAAAGGGCCGTGATTGTGACAATGCCAGAAACTAAAAGAAATCCTGGAACGCAGTCTTTCCTAGAGCCTTCCAACGCCATGATCCCGGACTTCCAGCCTTTGAGACCGTGAAGGAACACCTTCTATCCTCTAAGCCACCCGACCCGGGGTGTTTGTGGCAGCGGTGAAAGGAAGCAAAACTGAAAAACGGGCAAAAGATTTCCGTAGACCTTTCTCCAGAGAAAACCCATAATGGCCCAGAAGCACATGAAAATAAAACACCTTGAAGTTAACTTCACACCGCCTTCCTACGCCATGATTAGCACCAGGGAAACGCAGATCAAAGCCACAATGGGGTGCTCTTTATGGCCATTAGAGCTCTAATTTTTTTTTTTTTTTTTAATGGGAAAAAAGTGCTGGCAAGAGTGTAGAGGCCCGGGAACCTCCCGCACTCCTGGGGGGAGTGTAAGTCGGTGCGGCTGCTGGGGGAACCGGGAAGTCCTTAAAAACTGAACAGAGACTGAAACATAGACGGATCACACGACCCGGCAATTCCATTCCATTCCTCCGTACACGCCCCAAAGGACAGGAGGCAAGTGTGCAAACAACAACGCGTACGCGCTTGCGCCCAGCAGCACGACTCACGCTGCCTAAGATGCAGACATAGCCCAAACGGTGACAGATGGACGGAAGCGTACACGAAACCCGCGGTGTCCCCACGACCCACGACCCTCAGGGACAAAGGACTGAAGTGCTGGTAACGTTCAGTGGTCTGGACACAGAAGACCACGGACTCTGTGTGTCCGAGACCATGTACTGCGTGTGATCCAGACAACGTACTGTGTGTGTCGAGTCCGTTTAAACAAAGCGTGCAGAGATGACTGCTAAGTGGGTACACGTCTCTTACTGCTTTTCTTTAGATTTTATTTGTGGACTTATTTGGGGAGGGCATGAGCAGCCGCGAGGGGCAGAGGCAGAGGGAGAAGCAGACTCCCCACAGAGCAGGGAGCCCGACATGGGACTCGATCCCAGCACCCCGGGAATCATGACCTGAATCAAAGGCAGACGCTTAACCCACTGAGGCACCCAGGCGTCCCTGCGGCTCGCTTTTCTCTGGGGGACGAAAAGCGACTGGAAGTATTGGGGATGGTTGCACACAATTGTGAGTAGATGAAAAATAAAACGAGCTGGGGATTGGGAATTTGGGGCGATCTCTTGATTTAAATACGCACGAAGGACGATGTAAATGTACATATATTACAGCAAAGATTGCAAACTCAGCTGTCTACTGAAGCCAGAGGCCATGAACTCGAATGAATGACTTGAACCACACGGAGGGAGGAGCAGCAGCGCCACTTTTGAAACAGGAGTCCCCGCCCGGCCCCGGACACCTGTTGCTGGAAGGAAACAGCCACATGTGGCCAGAGATGACTTTGTACAAATGAGCTAGAAACTGAGATTTGGGGGGTGAGCTCTCTTGCTTTAAATGAGAGAGAAACTAGTATTTTCTAAAAAGCTAAAAAAAGTAATTTTTGAGGGTCATCACGCTGTGGGCTGCTGCCACACGCCCTTAGTTTTAGTATGACTTGAACTGAGCTTCAAGGTCCTTCCTAACGTGTCCTAATCTCCATCTCGGAGCACCCACCCGTGGAGCTGCCCACCCTCGCGCTTCCAGAGCTGCCCACGGACCGCTTCCAGCTGCCCGGAGTGGGGATCCCCGGTTCTTATGGTTTCCTAGTCTTCTTCCCTCTCCTCACCTAAGCATTCCCTCCCTACAAGATGCCTCCGCGGCCTCCTGGACGTCACTCCTTCTTCTGGCCCCGAGGCCCTTGCCCTCGCCTCCATCAGGCCCGCGCCACTCCCCCCCAGCCGGGGCTGCAAACTGGGGCGGATCAGGGACCCCCTTCTCTGTGTCTACACAGAACATCGCAGGAGCGTCTTCACTCTGCTTTGAAAACATTCGTGTCCAAGACGCCAGCTCTTTGGGACTGGATTCACAACATGGAACATCACGTCAACATTTCTCCCGTTTCCTGGCAGCCTGAAAGCAACTAAGTCAACCACAGGAAATCTCAACCACCATCTCACGCCCCTAAGGAAAAACGGCGGCCCCCTCGTGTCCACCGTCTCCTGGGCTACGAACTGGCCTACCCTTCGCCTTTTTTGTTTTTTTTGGTGAGTCGGCTTTGTCAGCATGTCCTTGACCGGATGCGGGCGTATCTTCCTGTCCTTCCACGTGTAGGTTTGAAATGGTCAGCACGATTTCATCTCCTCCTTCATCTCCTGGAGTCGCCTCCACCAGGAAGAGCTGCTCTCCCGCCTGGGGCTCGAACCCGCCTTCAGCCAGCAGCCGGTCCTCGTCCTGGCCTTTCTCAAGCTAACAAACGAAAGTGAGCCTTCAGACGCATGCGCTCTCTTAAATGACATTCGATTCGACTCTTTGCCTCGATGAAACCACAGAATACAGAGAAAAACACAAGAATTAAAGCAGCACAGAAGATCATCTACGGCCGTCAAAATGCTGACGCCATAGTTCTTAGGCATCCAGGGCTCAGGATCAGAACACTGTTTTTTGAAGCCACAACACGCCTTGTAGTGTCCTCCTTGGCGTGACTTTTTAAACTCTTAGAAAAGAGCAGGAGGTCTTCCAGGATTTTCCTGGGGCAGCCTTTTCACTGTGTGTAACTGAAACTGCAGCTTCTAGCTCCCTTGTCCCTACCTGACCATGCACAAAGGGCAACCAAGAAAGTAAGTTCAAGTTGCCTGAGTCCTACCCTCCACCCCCCCAACTTGCCACCCCACTGCCCCCCCCGGAACCCGCCAACCCCCAACCTGCCAGCCCCCCCACCGCTCGCCTCCCCCCACCACCGGCGCCAGGGTCTGTTGCTTCACACCAGCCCTACCTTCAACAATCCAGGGCTTTCCGCCAGGCTCACCACAAACTTGCTCTCTTCGCTGGCCCCGGCCAGGCCACCTTCCAGAACGTGCAGCTCCATTACCTGCATCTCCTGCAGCGAGTACACTTCCTCCTGGAGGCTGATGGTGACGCACGGCGGGGCCCCCTCACCCAGCCAGAGCAGGGGCTGCGGCCCGCCACCTGCCTGCTGGACGGTCACCTGCACACCGTCCTGGGGCTGCGGGCTGAGCCAGCTGACGTCTTCGGAGAAGTGCACCGTCTGCAGCGTCAGAATGTGCTTCTCGCTCTCTTCCGTGGTGAGCAGCGGCTCCTGCTCGCGCTCTGGCCCCTTGGCCTGGAGGGGCCTGTAGGGGCACAGGGCCTGCCCATCTCTGGGCCCGGGGGGCTCCCTCCCTCTGCACGCTCTGTCTTCTTCCTCCTCTAGTAGGACTTCTGGGACCAGCTCCGGCGCTTTGATTTTGGTAAACTGCTCGGAAGGGACAGAGATCTCAGTCCCTGCCATGGTGACGTGGCCTGTGTGAGAAACCAGAGAGCGGTCCCGGTAGGGCCTAGTGGGGTCGGACCAAGACATGACAAGGTCCTGGCCTCCCAGGAGTCGATTCCGTCTAGGCCTAGAAGGAAGAGAGCCTAAACAGAGTTTAGGGGAAGGCAGGAGTAAGTCCGGAAGATTCTAGAACTACTAAGTTTGGGCCTGAGTAGGCTTTTGGCAAATGCACATTTCAGGCCTAGCGAGGTGGGGCACCAGCGGGGTCTGGGCCGGTGTACAAGGCTGGGCCAAGGAAGCTCGGGCCTGAGTGGGCTTTCAGCAAATGCACATACTAGGACCAGGACTAGCAAGGTGGAGACTGGCCAGACTCCATTACACAGCTCCAGACTGAGCACCGTCTCCGCCACGCGGCTGGTGAGCCTACAGCCTCCAGCTCCTGCAAACTTAGCCGAGCAGGCTTCAGACCCCGCACGCCCACCCTCTGGGCCCGGGGGCGCCCCCACTCCCAGTCCCTCCCTGACCCCATGCCTCCCCGCCAGCCCGGGGCCTCTCTCCTGGGCCCCACCCGCCCGCGTGGGAGCAGCCTGCATTCTGGAGGGGGCTGCTGTCTAGTCCCTGGGGCGGCCCCTCACCCGGGAGGCGTGGCCTGGGCGCCCAGCCCACCCGGTCTTGGTGGCCGCTGCCTCGTGCCGCGTGCTGCCCGCCACTGCTTGCCGCTCTCGGGCCGCCTGGGGGCGAGGGTCAAGTGCGGCAGTGCGCAAGCGCCAGGCGGGAAAGTTGGGGGTGGTCGGCGTGCAAGGGGCGGAGCCATGGAGAGGGGGCAATGGATGATGGGGGAGCTGGGGGGGAGGGGCACCCTCAGGGGGAGCTGAGACCTGGGAGGGGTGACTATGGAGGCGAAATAGGGGGACACCTGCAGCGGGTGCACAGAGACCTGGGAGATGGATGTGGAGGAAATTGTAGCGGGGCACCTGCGGGGGGTGCTGAGATGGGGGGGGATGCAGGAGGAGGGAAGCGGAGCTGACTTGCACTGGGCGCTGAGACATGGATGGGAAGCGGGTAGTGGGCGCACCTGCGGGGCGGGGGGATGGTGGGAGGCCCTCGCGGAAGGCGGGCTGGGGTAGGCGCCGTTTGCTGCTGGACGGCTTTAGCCTTTCCCAGGTCTGTAGACCTTACACACTGCTCTCCCAAAGGTCTGAGGGCCGCAGGAGAAAGGGGGTGGGGGAGGGGAGCAAGGGAGAAACGGAGAAGAGACGGGCACACCCGGAAGCCAGACGTGATCGCACCTCGTGCCCCCGGACTGTGCGGATTTCACCGCACTACATTCTTTGTAATGGAAATCAGTAATTTTGGTGATCTCCAGAAAGAGCTGGGTTGTTGTCGCCAGCTAGGTACAGAAGAAATACAAGTCTGGAGCTAAGGGGTGATTAAAATCATTTGCAGTTGACGGATTAATTTTATTTTTAATTTTTTTTAATTAAAATTTTTTGAAGAGTTTATTTTTGAGAGACATAGAGAGAGAGAGAGAGCATGAGCTAAGTGAGGGGCAGAGGGAGAAGCAGACTCCCCCTTAGCAGGGAGCCCGATGCCGGGTTCCATCCCAGGACAGTGAGATCATGATCTGAGTGGAAGGCAGGCGCTTAACGGTCGGAGCCCCCCAGGCGCCTCATTTTTTCTTTTAAGGTATGGTTTTACAACTTTCCAGGGAATCATTCTATTCTGTTTTCACCTTTTTTTTTTTTAGATTTTTTTTATTTATTTATTTATTCATTTATTTGACAGACAGAGATCACAAGTAGGCAATGAGGCAGGCGGAGAGAGAGGAGGAAGCAGGCTCCCCGCAGAGCAGAGAGCCCGATGCCGGGCTGGATCCCAGGATGCTGGGATCATGACCTGAGCCGAAGGCAGAGGCTTTAACCCACTGAGCCATCCAGGCGCCCCTGTTTTCACTTTTTTCAAAATTTTAATAAAATGATTGTGGAATTTTCTTGTTTGCTGATTGTGAATAAATTTATTTAGATGATGGGGGGACCCCAAACCCTCCAGGCAACTCAGAGGAGAAAGCAGTCTTGAGGAGGCAGCTGGGATGGGGTTCTGGAGCCTCCCTGGAGAACTGGCTTCCAGGTGGCCTGAGCGAGTCTTCCACCAGCCGCGGGTGGGTTTCTCCCCGGCCCACAGCCAGAGAACCCTCTCTGTCCACGGAAACGCTTTCCACCTGCCAGCCGCCTTACTCCCCACACTGCTTCTCCTGGTTCTTTGGATTTTACTTCACATCCTTGTGCATAGTGCAGACACTTCCCCTCCCCCCATTTTCGATGGTACAACGAGGAACTTAATTCACTTTTTTAAAAGGAACCCATGTACTAGCGGTCATGCCTTTGTTTTCTAGATGCTTGGGTCTGTGTCTGGGGTTTCTATTACAATCTGTGTACGATATGGAGACGATAACTATTGGGAGGTCACTGGGAAAATGGTGTGTTCTAAGAATTTATTTTAAATCATTTAAATGAGTTTTTCTGCTTGAACAGTCACCACCTATTTTGTGCCTTCTATGGTAATTTTGCATTTATGGCTCTAACACTCATGCAGCTAGAAAGTTCTGTGGCTGTTTATGTTATAAATTTGTGATTAGAAATTTCAACCACCGATTAACAACAAATTTGTTAAAGATGATTCGAGACCAGTGGGAGGATGGACATGGAGAGGGGAAACCAAGGTAGGCTTGGAGGGGAAAAGTAGCGGCTTCAGAGGAGAAAGGGGGAGATGGGAGGGGAGGTGCGGCAGGGGAAGAGCCGCTGGGGTGCTGGTGGGGGGAGTGACATGGAGGAAGGGGACTGGCAGGAGGTAAAGCAGAGGAGACAAACCTACAGTTTTCTCAATTTTGCTCCTAAGTGGGAAGTTGCACCACAAACTGTATTTGTTTTCCTTATTCTTAGCTGACTCTCCCAGGAGTCATCGGGAGGGGTCATCTTGGGACCCACTAGGGGGCCTGCATTGAAAGACGTGTCCCTTTGGAGCCTCTGAGGGGCCCTATTTGAGAAGGTGGAGTTGGAGGGGACACCCCAGAAGGTCTTCTTCCTTCAAGAGTGTCCAGGCAGCCCCACTGACTGGGGAAGGGAGAGGAGCCTTTACGAGTGGATCACTATGAAGAAAAACCATCTCAGGGCCGCGAGGTGGCCCGCGTGGCAGGCTCCAGGCTGGCTGTGCCAGTGGACGGGTTTAAAAATCTGGGCGGCAGTATTTGGAGCCCATGTGTAAGCCAGCCTTGATCCCAAGGCAGTGGGCATACCTGGCAGTCTCTGGAAGGATCTGGAAAGTCGGGGCTTCGTTTCGGCATAGCTGGCATCTTTGGGGTGCAGCTGGCTGAGAGGAGAGGCTGCGTCCAGTCCTCGTTCCCTGTGGAATCTGAACCGACCCTTCCCTCTGGACTCTAGAAGCCTCCCTGCGTTCTTAGATAAGAGAACATTTGTGGGATCAGGGGGAGGTACCCCAGGAAGGAGACATTGGCTTTCTGCCAAAGGGCCTGTAGGGCACAGGAGACTAGAGACGGAAGCGAGCTGATCCCACTGGCCCGTGGGGGGTTTGGAGCAGTTTCTCCCAGGTAGACCGGCCATCCCTGCTGTTAGGGGATCGGGACGGAGCGCAAGGCAGGTTGCCTGCATTTAGTCTAGAATGAAAAACAAAACAAAGCAAAAAAAAAAACAACTCACAAAAACCAAAAAAATCACAATGAACTCTTGGGCCCACGACCTTCTTGTCACGCCCGGTCTCCCCAGACGCACCTCCTCTCCCTCGTTGATCTGCCCTCCCATGTCCCTCTTTCCAAACCTTTCTCCTGCCATTCCCTGTCCCTGCTCCATTCTCATTCACCCACTAAGGATCCCAAGGAGCCTTGAGAGATGTAAGCTTTGCGGCATGTCTGCTGAGCCTGGGACCCAGACCTTTGCTTGGCACGTCATAGGTGTCCCCCAGCGTGCCCATGGCGATGGTGAAACCCTGCTGAGAGCCCGGAGACCCAGCATCCTCTGCGGAACTGGTCTCCTACGGACGCCCAGGGCGCTGACCTGTCCTACGATTGTTGGTCACTTGACTCCTCCAGGAGACATTGTTGCTCGTGATGACTTTTGTCCTGGGCCGGCTGCCTGCCCCCTGGGTTGCTAGAAGGTTCTCACCGCCCTCTAGCATTGGTCATTTCAGCATTTGGGGTGGTATTATGTTCCTTGGCGTTTCCTTGCCATCAGCTTTGGTCAGCCTGTGGTGTGGTGTGGTGCATGCCACAAGGGGAATGACTGGGAAGGCCAAGCTAGTGCTTGGCTGTGGAAAGCAGATGTTCTAGTACCTTCTACTCAGCTCTCTCTGTGACCGGTGTTGCCTCTGGGGCACACTTTTGACCCAGTAGCCCTAGGATATGCGTGGGAGAGAGAGGATCTATGATACCACTCAGAAATGTAATAGATTTAAACAGAGACAGATAAATGGCCAACACGAAACTCGGAAGTTGAAAGTAGATGCATCTTCTGCGGGGCAGCAGGGAGCAAGGGAGGCCAGCAGGTGCTTCCGTCTGCTCTGGGCTTCCAAAGTTAAGGGTGACAAGCCGCCCCACTTAACAGATCCCCGGCCCCCTAACTCGCATGCAAGATCTTTGTGAGGCGGTGGTAAGCACATAAGTATTCGAAGCTCCCAAGCGGGAAAGGAGTTCAACAGTGAACCTGGGCACGGAGGCCAAAATTGTCAGCGCGGCTACTCCAGGGAGGGCTGTGGGCTGAGTATGCTAAGCACTTGGCATGTTGTCTCTCGAATTATCCAGAAAGCCTATGGAGGGGGCAGTTTTCTTGTCACAGAAAGCAGAAAGGCTTAGAGACCTGTTTCGGCGACGGGAACTGGGATTCAGCACGTCTCTACCTTAAATATTGTGTAACTGGCTTGTTAGTGTGTGTATTGTTCATTGCCTCGCGGGGGCTGATCTCTCTCTATCTTCCATCCGTCTGTGATGTTGTTCAAAGGCAGGAGATCTTTGTTGTGCCCACGTGCCTGGGACAGAGAGGGCCCTTGACAACTTTCGGTGGCCTAGCGGGCCGGCGGAATCCATAGCCCTTAACTATTCTTGTTCTTTGACTTTTTAAAATTTTTAAATTTTTTTAGTGAGAGATAAAGGGTGGGGGGAGAGAACAGGGGTGGGCAGAGAGAGGGAGAGAGAGAGAATCTTTTTTTTTTTAAGATTTTATTTATTTATTTGACAGAGATCACAAGCAGGCAGAGAGGCAGGCAGAGAGAGAGGGGAAGCAAGCTCCCGCTGAGCAGAGAGCCCGATGCGGGGATCGATCCCAGGACTCTGGGATCATGACCTGAGCCAAAGGCAGAGGCTTTAACCCACTGAGCCACCCAGGTGCCCCGAGAGAGAGAGAGAATCTTAAGCAGACTCATGCTCGGTGCAGAGCCCGACATGGGGCTCAGTCTCATAACCCTGGGGTCATGACCTGAACCAAAATCAAGAGTCAAACGCTCAATGGACGGAGCTGCCCTGGCGCCCCTTAACTATTCTTTTTCAGTGCCTCTTGGGCACACGGGAAGGGTGCAGTTGGTTTTTATATCCTAGAGTCTTAAGAAAATGTCACAGCAGTTTTCTCTTGCAGCTTTCCAGTGGTATTTATGCAAACAATATCTATGACTTCTTCATTTTAAGGAACCTTCCAGAAA